AATTCTCTTCATACATGTCCTCTACTTATAGGCTAAGGCAATGTGTGTGTATTCAGGCTTTGAAACTTCCTATGATAGGCTCAAGTTGCTAATTATCTTCAATAATTTGCATTAGCAAACAAAATAGATATCCAGAGTTTGGTAACTGGAAGAATATATTTTAAGGTAGATATTGTAATTATTTAGTTATTTTTAAAGAAAGTTCTGTAGAAAAATAGATTTCTGTAACATAAACTTAAAAAATAAAGTTTATAAGGACAGGCTGTATCTATATACCACGAGCTACTTACAAGACATAAACTTGAATAGTCTGCAAAGCTCCTCAGAATCTCAAGTATTATACTTAGAGGGATGCTGGATGCGGTAACAAAGTCAGGGCAAGTTCTCTCCTTCTCTAAGAAAAGATAGCAATTGTGGGATTCTTCCCAGTAAGTCTGAAATGCACACTTGAATAAAACAGAATTAGGTATCAGTATGTGGTGCCCTATATAAAACTTATTTTCTGCAATCTTGAAAAAGTAGATCTGTTCGAGAAGAATCCTAAACATACAAGTTCCTCTTTTACTCTCTGAAATCCAAGGTATCAAAAAAATGAATGTTCAAGGCAGGGTAAGGTAATTTTAAGTCCAGTACTTTCAAATAAACAGTCAATTCCTGTTTCTTCTTTAGAGATGAGTATTAATCCCAGGCTTCTTTTACTAACCACTTTCTTCTAGTGTGTTTGATGTGTGTGTGTGTGTCCCTGCACTTTTATCAGAGATGCAAACATTTTCATTTTAGCAAAGGCAAAAAATAATGGAAAGGCTGACTTGTAAGGAAAAACTGTAGGATGTTTCCACAGCCTCAGAAATTACTTTTGGATTATAATTATTTACACTTGAATTTCCTTTTAAGTTTTCAACCTACTACTGCTTCATTCTGCACAACAAATCAACCTCATTTCATGGATAGAGAAGAACAGAAATATGTTAAGAACTTTCCTTCCAAACAATTTTCAAAAAGGTCAAGACTAGAATGTAAGTATCCCAAATCCTAACCTATGTATTCTATAATATGACTCTCTCTCAACTTTGCTCCCTCAATTAGTATGAAAAATTAGCTTTCAATCATATAAAAACTATTGACCCTTTAGATCTAGCAAGAAAGCATTATTGGTCACACACCTGCTATTTTCAGGCATAAATTCCTATTTGGATTTGGGGACTACAGATAACTACAAAAGATAAAAACCCATTCTGAAGACCTAGTCCAGTGAGAAAATGTGACTAGACAAGGAAGCCAGGAACTATGCCTACCTTATTCTTCATGCAACTCTAGGCACAGCCATCCGCCTTCAGACACAATCTTAGCTGAGAGAATCGGACGGTTTTGAAGGAGAGCGGTTGGGAGATGACAGGGATAAGTTACAGCTCAGTGCTTCCTCAATTCCTGCTGTGAAGAAATGGATACAAGAAAAACAGACTTCTCCCTGTTGGCTGCTTATTACTCTGTGGACAGGTCATGTTGACACAATCTGGTCTTCGTGGATATAAAAAAATAGAGGCTATATCTGATTCTACTTTGGAGGTACTATGAGCCTGGGTAATTTGTAGCTGAGACTGTATCATAGTGGCAAGCCAATTATTACTATGGACTTGGCCCAGTGTGGGTTTTTACCTTGGCTAAGCCACTTACTATCTGTGACCTTTGTTTCCTGACCTCTGCAATGGGGATAATCCTTGCTGTACAGAATGCAGCAGTAGCCAGAGATGCAGCATGTCTTGGCACACTACAGGTACTTGGTAAATGGCCCGGTCTCTTCTTAAAGATGAGGCGGGGGGAGAAGCTATCAAATGACCAGCTCTCTTTATCAGTACTCAGAATATCATGCTGGTCTTTGCCTCATTATGGAGGCAGTGCAAGAACTGCCACAAATCAGGGTAGAATCAGAAATTGTCCTTCAGAACTAAAGGAGGGATACACTTGAAATGATCCAGAAATCAGAGCAATCACAAGCTTTGGTAGCCAAAGCTTTCTAGGAAAAGGACAACTGAAATAAAAAAAGGTAACGATTTCCTAGGTGATGTACAAGACAATGAGGTTCAATGGAAGCTCTTGCTGAGCACAGTGGAAAACTTGAGTTATCAAAACTGAAAACCAGTCAGTTAGTGGCAGATGAAGCTGAAGAGATAAGCCAGGTTTAGAGGCAGGAAGGTTGCATACTGCACATGTGTTTTAAAAGAAAACACAGAATGTACCTGAGCACAGCCAGGCCCTGTCATCCACTCTGAGTCCCTGTGTGTTGTGGTCTCCCACCAAACCTTCCCGGCAATGTGATCACTGAAGAGAAAGGAAAAACGCTGTCCAAAAATTCTGATGAAACTTCATTAAGACAGAGGCTCAACCAGGGTACTGAGGTGTTATTTTATGAAGCACATATGCAGAAAGTTTGAAGCTGAATTGCCTTTACAAGTATTGTAGAGAGGAAGTTTAACGGGTGGTTTTGATAAACCACCAGTCAATGTTTTCATGGCCCTGGAATTTTGAAGATTCCCAATGGGCAGGCACATGACCTCAGATCTCCTATCTCTTTAATGCACAGACATTTCACAGGGGTCTGAATCCCACAGAAATAATGTATCTGTGGTAGCAAAATAATGTCTACCACAGAAGGCCACACCCAAGTGCCTGCAACCTGCGACTGTGGCACCACACATGGCAAAAGGAGGTTTGCATATGTGACTAACAAGGAATGTGAGAGGAAGACACTGTCTTGGATTATCTGGAGGGGCCAATCTAATCACATGAGTCCTTAAAACTGGAGAAGCCTTCTCAGCTGGGGTCAGAGCAGAGAAAGAGGTATGATTAATAGGAGCGGTGTCAGAGGCAAATGCTACTCTGCTGGCTTTAAAGAGGAAGGGCTTGGCTAATAGTCTGTAAAGCAGAAAAGACAAGGAAGTGGATCCCCTACAGCCCCCAGAAGGAACACAGCCAACCAACACCTTGGTATTATCTCAGGGATGTAGTTTTAATAACCCACAGAACTTAGGTAATAATTCTATGGTTTTAAGCTACTACACATGTGACAATTTGTTAATAGTAGCGATAGGAAAATTATACAGTATCTCTCAGATAAAAATGCAAGACTGTCATGTTAAACACTTTCAAAGGTGAAAAAAGGGGAAACAGAAGATTGAAGCCTGCGAACATTCACATTGCGTTAGCCTGTGATCTTACGTCCTGAGTATAAACCAGCTTAACACAGAATTCTACAGTGAAGTTCTTCAAAGCATCACTAAAATTCACAACTGAGACAACTGGTTGTGTGTGCTGGTCTCCAGAACCCTGTACTCTGCACTCCTATGCCACAAACATTATTTGGACAATTAAACCAGAACAATTCTATCAGACTCGAGGAAAATGACCAGGGAGCATGTCTGCAAGACACATGTTTGGTCTTGGAAACAGCATTACACTTTCAATACAGATGGAACTATTCTCTGTTTACATTCAGAATTCAAAAGTTAAATTCAATGAAACATGAATGTATTCAAGCAAATTATCACAGCTACTGCTGAATGGATCACATCCAGGTATTCTTGCACTTAAAAGAAAAATGATACTTTCTATTCCATCTTTTTTTTGTGAGCTATTCTGAGTGAATTCCAAAGGTGCCTTCCCATGGACTTCAACAATGATCCTGAATTGCCAACCTTGAACAAGCTTCTGGTGTAAGTCCTTGCAAAACCGAGACGAACTGATAGAAACCACTGTCACTCTTCCCAAGGTTGCATGGCTTTCACTCAAAATAAGGCAAATAAAAGTACAGCATCTCATTGAGCCCTTAATGCCTTGGAACAGCAAAGAAAATTTTCAGTCATACCGTGGGTGGATCTGTGTCTTTACTTTTAGGCTAATCAAAATATCTTCACTAGAAAAAGAGTCTTCCTTCACTCAAGGTTCCACGAAAGTTGGAAAAACAGGCTCCTTTGATGCAATGGAAACATTCCACTTTAACAACTTTAGGTTTCAATTCAACAATTTGAAAGAGTTCAATAGGCAGCGACATGACTTGCTTGCCTGTTACACCCTCAGAGACAAGCAGAGCCCTCTCATTAAGGACTGTCTCCCCGGAGCCCTCTGATTAACCAGGTGATGCTTTAAGGAGGATGAGAACTACCCAAGCTAACTGAGGGGTTACCAAGATACTCTGCAATGGAAAAGCCTGCTGATATTTCGGTTGACATCTCACATTCAAGGTGCTTAGGAAAGTATCACATCATTTGGCAAAAACATCCCCTGGCTGATTCAGCAGATCGGATGGAAAGTCCCTACGTATGCTATTTGTACACAGACAGGGTTCTGAAAAGACACGTTTCGTTAACACAAAAACAAAAAACAACAGTTTAATGTACAACTATACTTGCCTATATGCAGAGGTAACCTTAAATATCTTTGGTTTTTTCTTTTTTAATTTGCTGATATAAAGTACTTGAATAAAAACACTGATAAATACCAATGTAACTGTCCTGTTTTTACTTACGTAAACTTAGCCCCTGATATCTTTTGCTCCTAAAGCTAGATTTCCCTATCAGTTTCTAAATAAATTTATTTCAGATCTGCTCACCATTACTTACTTACAGGCTAACCTATATATTTAATGGTCTTTGGTATGAAAATACTGATGAGCATTGTCTTCTATTATTTGGCATAAAAATGACATGCACGTATCAGTACTTATAACAAATAAATCTTTGGAAAAGGAAATAGTTACCATTTGCATATCAGCCCCTTTGGAGTGAAACACCATGGAGTAATAATACCACTGTGAGAGACGAGCAAGAATCTCCCCATTTTAGTTACAATTTCATACCTAAGACTTCAAAGAAGCTTGCTTTGGCCAAGCCAAAAGAAGTCTTCGTTATACGACAATTACCTTATTCAACAAAACCAAAAGATTTATTTTTGGGTGAAAAGATTTGTTTTTCTCTCCAACAAGTAGTTTCAACAATTTGAAATACTTTAATACTGTAGAGTTGAAGATCTACTTGTTGAAGAAAAAAATCATACCTGAAATATAAAATCCTCTGGAACTATTTTCTGGTAAAGGAAGTATTATAACTTATTTCGAATGCTCTGGTAACAAATAAGGTAGTCAAAATCACTAGACTATTTAACTACAACAATCAATATAAATCCTATCATTCTGGGTTAGTAACTACTTGGATAAACTTCGTATCTATAGATGTTTCTAGTTAATTCAATTTGGGGGGAATTATAATCATTTTACTTTCTACTGAAAAGTCTTTGGTAACAGGATTATTATGAAAAAGTGTATAAGAACAAAATGAAGAGGTAAAAATGTACTGGTAAATAATTAGCCAACAGTTATAACCTAAAGATCTATAATAACTATGGGCCTATCCATCAGAAGCCACACAAACAAAATATTTTCTCAAGGACTTCAGATCATCTTTTCAGGCAATTAATAAGACTATTCAAATTCACACAGTCCAAAACACATCTTCCATAACTATGATGCATGTTTCAGTTATAGATCTCGTTTGCCTTTTAATGAAAGTTTAAACAACAAAATGATCTCATTGTACTCCTGACTTATAGACAATGATAAAAGTCGGCCCCACATACTTCTACTTAGGAACCGCACAACGCCATACCCTGTCAATCTGCCCATGCTTCCATGAGGCAGCTCAAAAGTAATAAAATGTTCCCTGAGTACAGGAAAAAAATAACACTAGAATACTTTCAAAGGAGGTAGTATAAACAGGAGCTAGAAAGGCAGGGGCGGCATCTTCCCCGCCTCAGACTGCTCACCTAAAGCTCTGCTTTTGCTGTGTTGCCTGTTTTGCCATGAAGCCCACACTTAGGGGGGGCTTTGAATTGAGTCTGGAAGAGGTTACTGCCACTTTATGTCGGCCTGCTTCTAAAACACTCAGTTTGGCACAAACTATAGATTAAAGGGAAAAAAAATGTTCCTGTTACAGCATCCCTCGCTGTCTAGGAGTGACACCAGGCCTGTAATCCAGTACAATTCTTTTGCTTCTTGAGCCCCTTCATTTCATATGACCCTGCCCCCTCTACAAGCAAACGGTCTCAAAGGGAAACCCATGAAGATTACTTTTAAAGGGAGACTCAAGAGTCATATCCAGAAAACTTGAAAGCATATTTTTAATAGGATAAGTGGATCCTCTCTAGAACGCATCTAGTTCCTTATTCTCCCCTGCTGCTAGGCACCTAGGTCACTGTCACATGACTGAGAAAGGCCTATTCCATGTGGCTGAGTGAACTATTTGCTGACTTCAAACCCAGCAAGAGGACTGACTGACTCTGCAGAGTTAGTTTCCTCATTCACAGCACTGACACTGAAGGAAGATTACATGAAGAGTACCAAGCAGGGTGGCAAAATGCTGAATATTTATCCCTAAACAAAAACTTCATTAAAAAAAACTTTTACGGTAAGATACTAAGTATCAAAATAGTTACTGAGTAAGTTCTAGAAACTATTAAGGCAACTTTTTATACTTCTGTCCTAAACAACCTCATGAATATCAAAAAGGTATAAGGCAAAACATTTCGTAATATATTCTAGAAGGCACTGTTATCACAATAACCTCGGGTTCACTGTCACATTTATCTTCATTGTTAATATGAAATTTCTTCAATCCTTTAAACCAAACTGGGATTACAAAAAAGAAATCCCTAACCCATTCTCTTTAACAATAAAAATCCACTTTCTGCATGGGGCTTTGTAACTAATATTGGAAAAGCTGAGGATGCTTTGCAAGCTGGCAGTACAGCCTTTGGCCAACTGTCAGGCAAAGAGGTGGTAAAAAAGGCACGGCGCGAGGGAGGCTGAGGTTTGGGATCCAGCAGATAAAACACTCAGATTCTAATGCCCAAAACATAAAGGCCTTTAAGCAATATTATTCCCTAGATGCTTGTGAATGGTTCTGTTCTCAAGAGAGATACTTTTTTTTTTTACTGTTCTGGCCAATCATCAAAATAAATAATCCAACTTTTCTTTTTGGTGGTTTACCAGTCCTCACAGAAGGGGGTAAAACTGCCCAAACCTTGTGGAGGTTACAGTTTTTGTTGAAAATCAGAGCTTCAGATAAACACTCTTACCTACCTAAATGACTCCTTTGATCACACATATTACACATACAGCAATGAAAACAAAAGGCTACTAGGAAGTATCATTGGTAACGCAGCTGACATAAACTACAACAAATGAGGTAACACAGTTTTCTTCAGAGTTTGCCTTCGGGCAAACTGAGGTAGATAGTCAGCAAAGGGGCTCTCGAAGTCTTCCCTCTGCTCCAGTGATATATTTTATAATCCAGTCAAATACTTTGACTGTCCTTTCACATTGCTGACAATGAAACATTCAAAATACATGAGTTTCAAAAAAAAAAAAAAAAAAAACACATTCAAAAAAGGCTGAAACACCCACTAAGACATGAAGGCTTTCACAAAAGGCTTTGGCTCCCTGTTCATTGTCCTTCGAACAGACTTACAGGCAAGACACCTGAGCATGGCTGTCTAGACGGGAAAACCTTTCTCCAAGCACCGCATTGTGGGTGAGGGCCGCAGCACAGACGCAGGGGTCTGCTCCGCAGTGGCTGGCGCTGCAGGGTCTTCACACTTCCTTGTCGTGGGGTCCTCCCCAGAATCACTGCCAGTGAGAGAACTGGACGTTGGGGGTGTGGAGCTTATGACAGAGGACAGGTGTATCTCATCATTGGACTCATGGGAGAATCTTCCAGAGTCGCCAGTCTCGTGGCTCCCTTCACTGTTTGCTGAATGTTCAGTATCCACTGCGGCACCAAAGGGTCTTGGGAAGCTGGCTGTCTGGCCTGGGGAGCCGGGAGAGTCTTCATCACCAAGGAGCACAGTAGTGCCCGGCTGATAAAAGCAGACAGCTTGAGTGAATCTTCTTGCAGGCTGGGCAAAAACAGATCAGAGCAATGAAATGACAAAGTCTTCAGGTTAATGGACAAGGGCTATCTTGAGGAATGGACTCTCTGGCTGGTGAATCCCCACAGAGGGGGAGGAACACATTAGAGTTACCAGTGGCAAGTGTCAAAAGCTCCTTGAGTGAGTGTCTTTTACCTAAAATATATTATTTTTACTTAAGAGGGAGAGAGAATGAACTCCCCACCAGCTGGTCACCCCTAAATACCTAAATAACAGCAGGGGCTGGGCCAGGGCCAAAGCCGTGGCCAGGAACTCAATCTAGGTAATTCCTGAAGTCATTATCACTGCCTCCCAGGGTCTGCATCAGCAGCACTGGAGTCAGGAGTGGGAGCCAGGAATCTCACCCAGGGAGTCTGATGTGGGATGTGGGCACCTGCACTGCCAGGCTCACCACCTGCCTGCTCCGCAGTGGTCCCAATCCTTGTACCCACTGCCACCCCTCCCCCAGCTCAGATGACTACACCAACCATCCTATCAGTTATCACTCATCCTGGTTCCTCTCTGTAACTCTGCCTTTCAAACAAATATTGAAAAAGAACAGAAAAAAGAGAGCATTAATTTATATTTCTTCTCTAATGAGTTCATATATCATAGATTGCCAAGGATTTTTCCTACTTGGGTAAATTACCTGCTCAACTTTCCTCTTCTTAGAGTCTTGGAAAAAAAGCCATTTTTTCTTAGAGTTGCTTTTAATTATAGGACCATAGCTGTTGATTATCAGGTCAGTTCCTCCCTGGGGAAATAAAAGAGGGAACCATAAATATATTGGTATTAGAGATTTCAGTTTATCCCAAGTGGCACCTAAATTTTTTAAAGGTTCAAAGAAAATTCAATCCCATCAAGGTGACATGTACCAATGCCATCTCACTAGTCCCAGTGATCAATTTCTGTTCACAACTGATCATAATGATAGGACTAAGAGCCAAAGGGATCACAAAAACAAGACTAGTGTCTGCAAATACTAGCTGATAGAATAAAAAAGGGAGAGAACGATCCAACATGGGAAGCGAGATACACAGCAGACTCATAGAATGGCAGATGTCCTAAACAGCACTCTGGCCTCAGAATCAGCCCTTAAGGCATGCGGATCCAGCTGAAAAGCCCATGAGAGTATTTCAGGCATGGAAAGCCAAGACACTCTGGCAAACAACAACAACAACAACAAAAAACAAAAAACCTAAATGAAAGATCTCCGCGAGTGAGATCCCAGTGAAAAGAACAGGTCATCAAAGAAGGAGGTACCTTTCTCTGAAGGGAGGCGAGAACTTCCACTTTGACTACGACCTTGTCTAAATATGATCAGAGTTGGTGAACTCAAAAGGCTTCCATAGCCTTGGCAACTCATGACAAGAGCCTAGGGTGATTACTGATGCCATAAACAAGAGTGTCAATTTGTTAAGTCAACAACAGGAGTCACTGTGCACTTACTCCTCATGTAGGATCTCTGTCCTTAATGTGCTGTACATTGAGATTTAATGCTATAACTAGTACTCAAACAGTATTTTTCACTTTATGTTTCTATGTGGGTGCAAACTGTTGAAATCTTTACTTAATATATGCTAAACTGATCTTCTGTATATAAAGAGAATTGAAAATGAATCTTGATGTGAATGGAAGGGGGGAGGGAGAGGGAAAGGGGAGGGTTGCAGGTGGGAGGGTAGTTATGGGGGGGGGAAGCCATTGTAATCCATAAGCTGTACTTTGGAAATTTATATTCATTAAATAAAAGTTAAAAAAAAAAAAAACAAAGAAAAAAATGATCACAGACATCACTATTTCATTTTTTTACACAGGCCACATACAATACATTCAGGTTATCAAAAAAATGTAATGGGTGATGGGTATATTGTTAAAAAGATACCCCACCCCCTACACGGGTACTTCAAAAAGTTTATGGAAAATGGAATTAAAAGATGAGTTTGGTGTAAATATTTTTGAAATACATACATAGCTTTTGACCACTACGTATTTTCCATTGACCTACTGAAAAAACCCTCATATGTTGCTGAAGTATTTGGAAGTATAACGTAAATTACAGTTTATTTTCAAATGGTACAGCAAACAAAAATATATGATATTGCGCTGTCCCATTGTAAGACTGGACTGCCCCTTCCCTAGGTTTTCTCCAATACTCCAAACTCAGGCACCTTTTCTATATTACCCCATCCTTTCCTGAAAGTTCCCATATTTTTTGAGTTCCTTTAGTTTTCTTAGAAGAGCTGTTTAGGGCAGGGCCACACACACCCAGACAGAACACAGGAGTGAAAAATTGCAAGCCACACAACAAGGGCTTGTGCAGACGGAAAGTGTAGCCTGCAGCACCAAAGAGACCACACAGTACAGCAGAAGTGAATGCAGTGGGGTCAGCTGAACAAAGAAATCCAGAATTAAGAGCCCATCTGACTACACTGATTGCTCCCAAGCCCCTCCAGGGAGAACTTGCCTTGCCAGTGTTTCCGCACATAGGCTTTCTCCCACCAAGTCCAGGAAACTGCAGACCCCAGAGCATGAGGCAGATTGGAACCATAGCCTGCTGACTTCTTGCTGGACAGTAACAAAGCCTTTCTTTTCCCAAAAGACTGATGTCAGAGATTGTTTTTTTGCAACCACTGGGCAGTGGACACATCTCATTCAGTAACAAAGAGGTGTGGAACTTACAACAAGGCATTAACAATTACTTGTGTATTTGTTTCACTATTCTCTCAACCTTTCTACATGTTGGAAAAGAACGTCCATGGGCTTAACCATATGCTCAAACACATGGCACTAGGAGGGTGTCAACTCCTAGGCTAACCCAAGGGGAAAGAGAGAGGTCTCCAGCTTTTTTCTCTACTGACTTCAGGTTTCCACTCCTGTCTGCCTTCTTTCAATGTAGATTCTTCCCTTTTTCTCCCTTGTCTCCCCCTACGCGGCTTCTCCCTCATCCTTTCTTATTTCTACTTCCATACTAGTAATAAAAGAATCACAGAATATTTCAGTACATTTTATGGTTATTTAAAGTTTTAGGTTCTATTTTTATATTAATTTGAAATAAGCTGAATGGCTCAATTTGTATTGAAAAGTAAATGCTATGGGCCAGCACTGTGGTGTAGGGGGTAAAGCCACTGCCTGCAATGCCGGCATCCCATATGAGCGCTGGTTTGAGCAATGGCTGCTCCATTTCTGATCCAGCTCTCTGCAATGGCCTGGGAAAGCAGGAGAGGATGGCCCAAATTCTTGGGCCCCTGCACCTGCGTGGGAGACCCAGAGGAAGCTCCTGGATCCTGGCTTTGGATCAGCCCAGCTCCAGTTGTTTCGGCCAACTGAGAAGTGAATCAGCAGATGGAAGCTCGCTCTTGCGCGCGCGCTCTCTCTCTCTCTGCCTCTCCTCCTCTCTCTGTGTAACTCTTTCAAATAAATAAATAAATAAATGTAAAAGCTAAATTAGGTTGCAAGCAAAAAGAAGACACAAGTAACAAAAAAAAATTTATAATCATTTGCCCCAAATAGATATATAGTACTGTGCTAGATACGAGTAGATTTCATCTGCTAAGTATAATTGTACCCTTAATTTAAAAATTGCCAGGGCCAGTGTTGTGATGTAGTGGGTCCAGCCACTGCCTTGACTCTGGCATCCAATATGGGCACAGGTTTCTCAGCTGCTCCACTTCCAATCCAGCTCCCTGCTAATGGCCTGGGGAAAACAACAGAAGATGACCCAAGTGATTGGCCCCTGCCACCAATATGGGGAGACTTGGATGGAGTGCCAGGCTCTGGGTTTGGCCTAGCTGTTGTGGTCATCTTGGGGAGTGAAACCAGTGTTTGAAGATTTCTCTGTTTCTCCTCTCTCTCTAACTCTTCCAAATAAATAAACAAATCTAAAAAAAAGTTTACTTAAAAAAAATAGTTGTCTTAGTCTCTTTGCAGACTACATATAGCCAATGTGGTATTTTCTTCCGTTTTTAAAAACAACACTTAATAAATGTAAAAAGTATTCTTAGTTCAAGGGAATGGGCCTGGGATGTGGTTTGCTGACAGCTGAGTTATAGCAAATTGGTTACGGGAGCTAGTGTAATAATGCACAATACCTAACGTTGGCAATTGGACTAAAAATAATTTAAGCCGCACCCACAATGCTTACCACTGTACTATTATTACATATACTGGAAAAATCATGCAAGTAACATCTCCAATGACATTTCTTCTCTATATCCAAATTCCTTGGCCTATAAAAGGAATGGATCTTTATTTTCTAGTTAGAGGCTATTTTAAAACTCATTAATATCTGGATGTTATGATGAAAATGCAGTTCAAACAATCATCAAACTAAGTGTAAAACAGATAATGGAGAACTGTCCACCTAGTACATGCAGGGAAGCCAAGTTACAAATGCATAAAGCACTAATGACCATGGTGTCCTTGTTTCAGACATTTTAGCTTCACTGAATTGTACCAAATTGAATTTTTTGCTACCTTTTCACCTTTTTTTTGGGTATTTTTTAAAATAAAGATTTATTTCTTTATTTTAAAAGAGTAAAAAAGAGAGGGAGAGGACACAGAGACCTTCAATCCAATGGTTCACACCCATATGGTAGCCACAACGGTCAAAGCCAGGAGCTTCTTCTGGGTCTCCCGTGAGGGTGGCTGGGGCCCAAACACTTGGACCATTCTCAAAAAAGCTAGTCTAGGCTTTTCCCAGGCCACTAGCAGGGAGCTGGATAGGAAGTGGAGCAGCCAGGACACGAACCCACCCATATGGGATACCAGCATCACTGGTGGCAGCTTTACCAGTTAAGCCACAACGCTGGCCCCTTCGGTATCTCTTACACCCTGTATTCTTTTATCTCTATCTTCTTTCCTCCAAATATTTTATATAAGGAAGGAAAAGAAGGTTCTGGATGAGTGCTTTTTGTTTGTTTTTCCATTTCATTAGAGGGAGTATGCACACGGCACATGGAATTTTCTGATAAGGAAATTTCACACGTGAAGCGAAGACAAATGGAAGGGCGGGCTCAGCAGCAGATCACTCCTTGGCTCAGGGTACCTTTGCATCAATGAAGTTGCTGGGCGCCATCATTGGCATTAAGGACTCTTCATTCTCAACGGCTCTTTCCAGGTTCTTTCCCACTTCACTTCTGCTTGCCGAAGAGGCACTGGTACGAGGCAACTGCTGGGGTCTGTTCTGTGCCGTCTTAGAAGCAGCTGATTTTCTGAAATAGCCAGAAGCAAAGAAAATCTAATTTCAAAGAACACAGAGACCATTCTTCATTAAGGCCTATGATCACAACTTCGCAAAGTTCTTAGATGCTCATTTCTCAAACATCGTTAGTAACTGAGTATTGGATTTTAACTCCAACTCATGGAGGCAAACTTATGATTTGAGCAAACTTTTGTGTCTTAATATTTGTTCATATAAAGTTATTTTCCACACTTAATAAAATCCTCAATAGTTATAAAGTGTTATTATTTATTGTGACTTATTTACAACTTTGCACAGAATTTATGAACTTTTTACTTTACGTTTTTGCCTTTAGGTCTGTAGACTGCTACACTGACCTAACAATGTACTTGCTAATTAACACAGGTGAATTTATTATGGTACTTCTGTAAGACTGAGGCAGCATTAAAACAATGTGCATGAAGTGAAAAATTTTACAGTGAGAAATATGGACAATGCCAATTAGTCACTTCAATATGCACAAAAATGCAAACTGTTGAAATCTTTACTTAGTATAGAATTGATCTTCTGCATGTAAAGATAATAAAAATGAATCTTAATGAAGAATGGGGTGGGACAGGCAGTAGGAGGTAGGACGGTTTGGGGGTGGGAGGGCAGGTATGGGGGGAAGAACCGCTATATTTGAAAAGCTGTACCTATGAATTTATATTTATTAAATAAAAGCTTTCTAAAAAAAATCAACTGTCAGCAACCTAAATAGAAGACTTAAAAAAATAAAACTTTTTGGAAGAAAAAAATAAGCACAAGAATGTTAGAACTCAAACTTCTCTCATTAATATGTTTTCCCAAGTTTATTACTATGCACAAACAGCAAATGTCTGCAGAGTAAATATTGAAAAATCTATGTGATTTGAGAAAGCCTAGTGATGGGGACAATCTAAAAATAATGACTTTGACTTTTTATTTAAAAAAGAAATTTTAAGAATATTAATGAAAGCAAAAGTCAAAAAATTTAAAAGGTTAGAAATAGTTCAGTTCCCTGAATGCAAGTTAATGTTGAAAATCTGGTCAAAGTCAAAGCACGGATGAGACTGCCTGACAGAGTTTACTGATAACCCTACCCTGAGTTACCTATTTGTCTTCACCCTTGTCTGCAGAATCCCAACCACACACCCTGGGGAGTTCTAAGTGACTCAGGTGTTTCAAGTACTGTCAGGTAAATATGAAATATTCTAAGCAGTAAGGAATCTTCTCAATAAACAAATGCATCAGGTTGTGTCACTGGAAAAAAAAATTTAGGCATATGCTTTGTGTTTCCAAAACCACTAAGGAAATGGGGAAAGCAGGTCCTCATTCAAGAATATTTTACTGGCAGAGAAATTTTTTTAAATGGCAAGAAAATGAACTCCCTTCAAAATGACATTTCTATAGCTGTAAGAACTCAAGTAGCAATACATTTAAAGTGGAAAACCCTGGTCATCCTACAAGGCACCCAATTTCATTGTGTCCTGAGGTTACTGTAATGTAGATGTTTTTTAACCACCTTAGCATCCCTAGCAATGGAAAACACACCTGGCTTTACTTCGGTATATCAAGATGAGAACACAGACGAGGATGCAGGTCAGGGCTATGCCAACACCTACAGCAATGCCAGTCATTGACTTCTGGTCCAGGTGGTAATAGCCTGAATAAACTGGAAGGGGAGGACACATGACTCAGACTCAGAAAATACATGATTTGATTTAAATTTAAGGCAGATATTTGCTTTATTAGTTTTTCTTTATCTCATAGGAAGTTCTGACATTATCTATATCTAAGCAGAGAACACACATTAGTTTTTTTTATCAGGGATTTCACAGATTGATTTATCTTCCAACACTGAAGATCTTAAACATGTGTTAGGGTGAGTGCTGTGGTGCCATGGGTTCACTCGCCACTTGGGACACCAGCGCCCCATATCCTGGGTCCTCACTTCTAATCCAGCTTTCTGCTTGTGCACCTGGGACACATCAGGCACTGGCTCAAGTACTGGGGTCCCTGTCACCCATTTGGGATGGACTTCCTGACTCTAGTGTTGGCCTGGCCCACTACCAGCTGTTGCAGGCATCTAGGGAGTGAACAAGCAGATGGATGATCTCTCTTCTCTGCCTTCCCTCCCAAAAATCTTAAAACAATTTTAAAGTCAAGTCTTCAGCATCATAGTATATCAAACATTATCAAATCATAATTTGTAATTCCAAACAGCACAAAACACAGGTGTTCCCAAAGAACAGCTTTCATATCACATTGCCTGAAAAGCAGACCTGTAGGTTGAAGATTAGTTTTCCATTTATACAGATAAGAACAGTGCTTGTCAAACTTAACGGTATGCGAGTCACTAGGGGGTTCTACTCCACTCCGGGGTTCTGCACAGGACACCCGGGCTGCTGGTCCCTAGCTGTCCTGAGCAGCACAGGATTGGGAAGCCAAAGAGCCTTGTTCTCCACCTCCACTGACGTGGCAGCTGCTACCTTCCGGTTGTCAAGTTGATGGTCCCTGCCTTTCTCTCTCTCCACCCACACACCACACTGAATGAGTCTTTTCTGTGGTGTGCAGAGCCCTTAACTCTGGCTGGAGTGTAGCTGGCCTTTCTTCCACTTAAAGCTTTCCCCACTTCTACACAGCACAAGAAGAAAAGGAGGCTTCCAGCCCCAAACCATGGTGGGCGGCAGTTTCCTCCATGAGGGGGCTAATTTAAGGATAATTTGTCCAGGGCGAGCATTGTGATGCAGTGTTTAGACCCTGACTGGGACATATGCATCTCCTATGAGTGCCAGTTCAAGATTTAAGTCCTGGCTGCTCCACTTCCGATACAGCTCCTTGCTAATGCGCCTAGGAAAGCAGTACAGGATAACCTAAGTGCTTAGACCCCCCGGACCCACATGGGAGATCCAGATCAAGTTCCTGGGCTCCTGGCTTCAGCCTGGCCAACCCCAGCCCTTGTGGCCTTTTGGGGAGTGAACCAGCAGATGGAAGATCCCGCTGTTGCTCTGCCTTTCAAATAAGATGATTTTTTTTTTTATTTGACAGAGTGAGATAGAGACAGAGAGAAAGGTCTTCCTTCTGTTGGTTCACCCCTCAAATGGCTGCCATGGCCGGAGCTACGCGAATCCGAAGCCAGGAGCCAGGTGCTTTTTCCTGGTCTCCCATGCGGGTGCAGGGCCCAAGCACTTGGGCCATCCTCCACTGCTTTCTTGGGCCACAGCAGAGAGCTGGACTGGAAGAGGAGCAACCAGGACTAGAACCCGGCGCCCATATGGGATGCCGATGCAGGCAGAAGATTAATCAAGTGAGCCATAGCGCCGGTTCCCAAATAAGATGATTTAAAAAAAATAACTTTCCAATTGCTTTTCTGGGGAAAAAATAACTTTCTGGAAAGGCAGCTGTGCTGTAGTGAGAACTCTTAAAAAACCATGCCCTTCTAAGCCTGAGTCTCACAACCACCACGGCTGGCTGTTTCCAAACCAGGAAGCCCACTCGCCTAACTTACTCCACAGGTGGTGCAGCTCATCTGTCTTGGTGGCTGCACAGCTGGGAGAGAAGTTAACTGGGAACACAGGAGTATGAGAAGAGCAGTTTATTCTTGACAATTTCACATCCTTCTAGGAGTACCCACAAGTCACACAGCCCCATAACATCAGAACCCCAATGGCAACCATTTAAAGAACCCATGCAGGTTTAGGGATGCGGCAATTGTAGGAGCCAAAAAATACTTCATTTTTGTTCTGTTTTTTCAGATGACAAATCACAGTGATCGTGTACAGACCTTTGGCATCAGCAGAATCTAAACGCTTGGGCCTCTGATTTGATTCAGAAGTTTCCTTTGGAAGGACTGCCAGCTCCACAGAATTTGAGAAGGGTCCTTCTCCCACCTCGTTGGATGCAGATCTTGACAATGTATACATTTCCTGCCACCAGGTTTTCCAGCAATGCCATGGTTATTGCCCCTATGAAATCGTCAAGTACAAATTTAGTAAACTTTTTTTATTCTTTCAATTATGCAAATGTGGTCACTTATTTCAAAAGCTATTTTTCTTATTGTCAAAGTGATATGTTTTTACTCTACAACATTTGGAAAATATACATAAGAAAATGACAATTTTGGGGGCTGGTGCTGTGGTGTAGCATGTAAAGCCACTGCCTACAGTGCCAGCATCCCATATGGACCCAGTTTGAGTTTTGGCTGCCCCACTTCCAATCCAGTTCCCTGTTAATGTGCCTGTGAAAGCAGCGGAAATGGCCCAAGTGTATGGGCAGCCATTGGGGAGTCAACCAGTGGATGGAAGAGCTATTTCTTTCCCTCTCTCGCCTCTGTGTAACTTTGCCTTTCAAATAAATAAGCCTTTTTAAAAAAATGAAAATTTTATACTGACACTTCAGTGTATTGTCTGCACATGTGTGAAAACATTTACTGCATGTACCTTTTTTTTTTGTGAAAGATTGATTGATTTATTTGAAAGGCAGAGTTACAGAGAGAGAGGCAGAGGCAGAGGCAGAGGCAGAGACAGAGACAGAGAAAGAGAAAGAGAGTTTTCTATCCACTGGTTCACTCCCCAAATGGTGACAGCCAGAGCCGGGCTGATCCGGAGTCAGGAGCCAGGAGCTTCTTCCAGGTCTCCCACATGGGTACAGGAGCCCAAATAATTGGGTCTGGCTTTCCCAGGCCATAGCAGGGAGCTGGATCAGAAGTGGAGCAGCTAGGTCTCAAACCGGCTAGAGTTTTCATTTGACACTGTACCATGCACACTTCTCCACAGAATCTCTCTCTGTAATTTTGTTTTAGTAATAATTCTTAAAGTAGCATGCATTTGTGTTTGGAGATACGTGTGTGTTATGGTATGTTTAAAATATATATAGATTTGAAATGTTTCATTTTTTCATTCAAATGACATTAAAACATTTCATTATGAAACATTTCAAACATACGCAGAAAATGGTAGGTAATTAATCCAGAAGCAAGGACTGTACTGGGACTTAAAAATCCAAAGTGAGAGGCTTGCCCCCCTTATAAGAAATGTTTAAATTACATGTGGTTGTAGCTAGGATAGATGACGCTATTTTTCCCCTCTTAAATCAGAAGTAATACAAAACAACCTATTTTGAAAGCATGAATAAATCCTTCACAGACTTATCATTATCTCAGGTTTCTTCAAGGTAACGAGGAAAGAAAACTCAAAGTTTGACGGCAGTCTCAAATCTGCTGAAGACCTGTAACTCAGATTAACTCTCAAAATTTCCACCAGTGATCTAAGATCATGTCTCTCCAAAGGGGATCATTTCATATGATATGTTCTCTCCGAAGGCATTTTCTCTACTGGCATGACCCCAGGGAGGATTCACTCCTGTTTGGATACCAATATTGCTTGAGTCATCTTCTTCTTGTTTTCCTACTGCACTGAAGCGTTTCTCACAAGAGAGACTTCCACCCTAGGAATTAATCCCGAGGTTAAGAAGGCAGGTGTGACAGAAATCCAACCAGGAAGCTGTTCCGGCACGCATCGGTGGGCAGACGTGCTTTCCTGTGGTGGTTTCACCTTCCTTCCTGACTCGGGGCAGCCTTACAACAGCTTTGAAGCGCTTCCCCTGGCTTCCTGCAGCCACCTTCAGGGCAGAGCCAGCTGCTCCAGTGGACTTGCTAGAACATAGCTCATTATGCAAGTGAAATAGGGGGTGATCTTAGAGCTGAGGCATGATACAAAGGCCACCTCTGCAGGTCACATGTTAGGAGGCAGCCAAACCTCCAAAAGCAATGCCAGCAGCCCGAACAGGACTTGTTTTCATGTTCTCTGGTTTCAACTTGGCTTGGACAGAGTGTGAGCTACTTGAGTACACAACTGTTAAATAAACAAACTGACCTCCTATTTAGAACCAGGAAGTCTTTCCACTGTTACGTTTTTAAGCAGATGCATTAAAAAACAAAGATGTGTTGTGATATGTTACAATGAGCTAAAAGGAAGAACATTTAATTTCTTCACAAAGAGACATACAAATTAAGTTTCCGTTTTATCATCAGAATAGATTTAATTTTTAAAAATGCTTGACAAAAAATAATCCTAACAGAAACGAAAAGTCTTCTGCTGTAGTAATATTTTCCAAGTGGATCTGCAGTGTCCCTTTCCCCAGAAAAAGTGGGATTGAGAGAAAGGAAACTATTTATGCATTCTGATCCTCCCATAAGCACATTCAAAGCACTTTTCCCAAATACTAAAGAGAGTGAGTGTCCCTACGTCCTCTCAGTAGATTGTCTCAATCTCAATTAATGTGATTATTTCAGTCTACTGCCTTTAATAGACATCTCAGTCTTCAGCCAGACTAGGAATTTTGAGGCAAGACAGTGTAACGGGCTCAGTGTCATAGCAATGTGGATCAAAACTTGGCACACTATCAATTAAGCAATACGTGACTCAGAGCACATTATCGAACTGTACTTTCCTCATGGGGACAATAGTTCCTCCTCATTTAATTGTTCTAAGGATTAAATTAGCACTGGCAAGTGTCTGACCCAAGTGTACACTTGATGACAGTAACTTTCCTTTCTCACCTGACTCCTCTTCTGACATGAAGGGAAAAAAAAAAAAAAAGACTTATTTATTTGAAAGGCAGAGTTACAGAGAGAGGCAGACAGTGAGATCTTCCATCTGCTGGTTTACTCCTCAAATGGCTGCAATGGCCAGGGATGGGTGAGGCAGAAGCCAGGAGCCTGCACCACCCTCTGTTGCTTTCCCAGGTGCATTAGCAGGGAGCTGGATTGGAAGCAGAGTAGCTGCAACCCAAACCAGGGCCTGTATGGTACACTGGAGTTGCTTGCAGCAGTTTAACCCATTGCACCATAACAACAGTTCCAGAAAAAATTTTTTTTTCCATATTTGAGTACCTTAAGGTGCTCACAGAATGCCTGGCTTAAGATCGTTTTAATTAATGCTAGTCGAATTTACAGTACAATGCAAGCCACTTGTGAGAAAAGGAGGGCGTACTCACTTAAGAAATAAACATAGGGGCCAGTGCTGTGCAGTACGTTAAGCCTCCACCTGCCATATTGGCATGCCATGGGGGTGCCAGTTCAAGTCCTGGCTGTTGCACTTCTGATCCACATCCCTTCTGATGTGCCTAGGAAAACAGTGGAAGATGGCCTAATTGCTTGGGCCCCTGCACTCACACTGGAAACCTGGAAGAAGCTCCAGGCTCCTGGCTTCAGCCTGTCCCAGCCCTGGCTGTTGTGGGCATTTGAGGAGCAAACCAGAGGATGGAAGATCTCTCTCTTTCTCTGTCTCTCTTCCTTTCTAACTCTGCTTTTCAAAAAAATTAAAAAAATGCATTAAAAATGAACATAAAGGGCTAAGATTTCAGGGGGTACAGTCTAAGACCTTTCTCTGGCCTCTCCAGGAGCTCCAAGTGAGTTTTTCCAGTTGTATAGACTTAAATATCATCGGCTGGCGCCGTGGCTCACTAGGCTAATCTTCCGCCTTGCGGCGCGGCACACGGGGTTCTAGTCCCGTTCGGGGTGCCGGATTCTGTCCTAGTTGCCCCTCTTCCAGGCCAGCTCTCTGCTGTGGCCCGGGAGTGCAGTGGAGGATGGCCCAAGTGCTTGGGCCCTGCACCCCATGGGAGACCAGGAGAAGTACCTGGCTCCTGGCTTCGGATCAGCACGGTGAGCCGGCCACAGCGGCCATTGGGGGTGAAACGGCAAAGGAAGACCTTTCTCTCTGTCTCTCTCTCTCACTGTCCACTCTGCCTGTCAAAATAAAAAAAAATAAAAAAATAGTAGACTTAAGTATCATCTACTGACACATACTGACAACAAAGCTGGATCTCTGGGTCTCTCCCTCTCCCACACGCTAAGCCTCCCACTGCCTAGTCTGGTGTGCAAGGTTTGCCCTTGGCTGCTTCCCTACCCCATTTCTTACTGCCTGCTCTTCCCTTCGCTCCAGGCTCCTTGGCTTCTTGTTCCTCTCATTTCTGCCTCAGGGTCTTTGCACTTTCCCCAGACAGAGCTATGTCTGGGTATCATTTCTTCCAAGACAATTTACTATACTATGAACTCCATCACTTTTTCCCTTTTACGGCTTTACAGCATTCATGATACTACCTGAAAATTCATATATTTGCTGGTTAGCTGGTCTATATACGATGACATTGCCATTGCCTATAACAGAGCCTGGCAGACAGGATCATGAGAAAGAATTTGTTTAATAAATGAGTATATTTCTACTACTGGCATTATAATTCATTTGGCAAATTGATAGAAAAGATTCTTTCAGTGCAAGGATTCTAAATTTTCAATGTGAATCACTAATATGGTATATTGTATTTCTCAAATTCAATTAATTGCAAAACTTTCTTTTTTTAAAGATACCTCTGTATAATCAGAAAACAAAACTAAGAACATAGTTCAGAAATCACTGAGATACAGGATAACTTCTCCCAGCATCTTTTTGATTTAAACATAAATCTGAATAGAGGTAAAGGCTGTAACTTCTGACCCACTTCAAGTTTTACGCAAATATAATTTCATGTTTCTGCTCAACCACATATATAAACTCACCAAAAGCATTTTAAAAGTGTTTTGAGCCATAAAACATATTACTGTATTATTAAATTTTGAATTAAATATGTATGTAATTATGTATAAACCTAATATGTAGAGAATATTAACAAGCATATTGGTAAGAGAATTCGCACTTCTATCTTCTTTTTCCTTCTCTTTCTACACTATCAACTTCTGAAAAGTTGTTATAATTTACATATAAGTAGCCGGCGCCGTGGCTCAATAGGCTAATCCTCCACCTTGCGGCGCCGGCACACCGGGTTCTAGTCCCGGTTGGGGCGCCGGATTCTGTCCCGGTTGCCCTCTTCCAGGCCAGCTCTTGCTATGGCCAGGGAGTGCAGTGGAGGATGGCCCAGGTGCTTGGGCCCTGCACCCATGGGAGACCAGGAAAAGCACCTGGCTCCTGGCTCCTGCCAGGATCAGCGCGGGCGCCGGCTGCAGCGGCGGCCATTGGAGGGTGAACCAACGGCAAAAGGAAGACCTTTCTCTCTCTGTCTCCTCTTCACTGTCCACTCTGCCTGTCAAAAAAAAAAAAAAAAAAAATTTACATATAAGTTTACCTTTTTTCCCTTTAAGTGCCATGTTGTAGTCCTTGCTTTTAATTAAATGTGGGTGAGTCAAATCCTTTATATTTCTCTCTCAAAAAAAGTAACACAATTGCTTTTCACTTATATTGTTTACTCTCTGAATTGCCAGCATTAGCTACAAAAAAGGTTCTCTACATTTAACAAATGACAAAAGCTATTCACT